TCGCAGACTGGGCTTCGAATTTCCCCAACTCTAAAATTCCTCTGACTCAACAACAGAGCTTATTTCTGTCACTGACCCCCAAGAGACCTGACTCCCCAAGTTCCTCCTCCAGTCCAGGTCTCAGAACACCATCCCTGACCTCAGAGGAGGACAGCCTGCCTCTCCAAGGTACTAAGGTCTCCAGAGGACCAGCAATGCCCATCCGACACCGTCCTGGGTCCTGCCCGCTTTCTGGCACCATCAGCGTCAGCAGGGGAGACAAACCAAGCTTCTTTGAGTCCCTCAACGGTGTCCCAACCTCCCGCAGTCAGTTGGCACGTCACCTCCTCCAGGAAGCCTACTCTGATGGCGTCTCCATGGTAGAATTCTCCATTCCCCAGGAAAGGGCCGAATGAAGAGACATGTCCACAAGGTGGATAGCATTTTTATGAGTCGTAATATATCATCACCATCACCGTTACCGCCATCCTATAGACAAGAAAACCCAAGAAAACTCGGACGCCTGCCTGGTGTCACATAACTAGGAACTAGTCAAGGCAGGATGGACCCAGGTAACCCGTACTCAAATCACCACGAACCAGGTACCGCTAACCAACAAGAAAGCTCACTCAGCAAACACCGACTAACTCAGCCATCGGCAAACACGTTTTCTTTTTTTCCTGGAGGTCTCCCTCCGTCGCCCAGGCTGGAGTGCAGGGGTGCGTTTCCCAGCTGTCCGCAGCCTTGACCACCAGGGTTCCGGGGATCCTCTCGCCTCAGCCTCCCGAGAAGCCGGGACTACAGGCACGTGCCACCACCCCCGGTTAATGCTCTCATTTTTTGTAGAGACCAGGTTTCACTGTGGCCCAGCCAGGTCTCAAACTCCTGGGCTCCAGCGATCCTCCCACCTCAGCCTCTCACGGTGCTGGGATGACAGGCGGATGACAGCCACTGTGCCCAGCTCCGCGATCATTTCTACCGCTTATGACCAGAGACGTTTCTCTTCCTGTGTAGAGCACAAACAAAAAAATAAAAAGAGCCGGCCTCAGTGGCTCAGCCTGTCATCCCGCGCCTTTGGGAGGCTGAGGTGAGTGGATTGCGGTTCGAGACCCGCCTGGGCAACTTGGTGAGACCTCATCTCTACAATAAATAAAAAACTCAGCCGGGCGTGGTAGTAGCATGCCTGCAATTCCGGCTATTTGGAAGGCCGAGGCGGGAGGATCGCCGGAGCCCAGCGGGTCGAGGCTGCGGTGGCCGGAAGCGGCCACTGCACTCCAGTCTGGGTGACAGAGTGAGACTCCAACTCAAAAAATAATAATAATTAATAAATAAATAAATAAATAAATAAATAAATAAATAAAAATAATTTTCAAATGGGCTTGAAGTCAGTGACAAGAAACGTAAATAAATAAATAAAATTTTAAAAAACAGGCCGGGCTCAGTGGCTCACACCTGTAATCCTAGCACTCTGGGAGTCCAAGGTGGGAGAATCACTTGAGCCCAAGGAGTTTGAGACCAGCCCGGGCAATGTAGCGAGACCCCATCCTTATAAAACATAAAAGAAATGACCCAGGCAAGGTGGTGTATGCCCGTGGTCCCAATTACTTGGGAGGCTGAAGCAAAAGAATCACTTGAGCCCCGGAGGTCAAGGTTGCAGTGAGCTATGATCGCGCCACTGCACTCCAGCCTGGGTGACAGAGCCAGGCACTGTCTCTAAAAGTAATTAATTGAGTGAAATAAAATAAATAAACGAGGCAGCTTGGGCCCGCAAGCTATTGTTTGCTGGCCCCAGTCTTAAGTGAATGAAGGGAATAGATTCATTTATTCATTTGATAAATGAATAATAATAATATATATATATATATTTTTTTTTAGTCGAAAGCTGGGATGCAGTGGCATGCTCACAGCTACCACAGCCTCGACTTGCTGGGCTCAGGTGATCCTTCCATCTCGTCTTTTCAAGTAGCTGGAACTATAGGCTCACGCCGCTATGCCCAGCTAATTTTTTGATTTATTGTAGAAACGAGGTCTCACCAAATTGCCCAGGCTGGTCTCATACCCCTGGGCTCAGGCAATCCTCTTGCCTTGGTCTCCCAAAGTGCTGGCATGACAGACGTGAGCCGTTGCCCCTGGCCAAGGAAAGTCCTTATCCCTGAAGTAATGCACTTTGTTATAGCAGCGAACTTTACTCACCCTGACCTATATACCACAGCCACAGGCAACTTGAACTCAATGAGATGGAAGAAACAGAAAGAATGGGCCGGGTGCAGTGGCCCATGCCTATCATCCCAGCACTTTGGGAGGCCGAGGCAAGAGGATTGCTTGAGCCCAGGAATTCGAGACCAGACTGGCCAACATAGTGAGATCTCATCTCTACAAAAAATGAGCCAGGCGTGGTGGTACAGGCCTGTAGTCCCAGCAACTCAGGAGGCTGAGGCGGGAGGATCGCTTGAGCCCTGGAGGTGGAGGCCGCAGTGAGTTATACATCACATCACTGCATTCCGCCGTGAGAGGCACAGAGAGGCTCTGTCTCTAAAAATTAAAAAAGGGTTCTCTAACCCCACAGTCCAGGCTTCTCAAGCTTGACCCTGTTGACACCGGGGCTGGATCATTCGCTGTGGTAGGGTCTGTCCTGTGCACTGTAGGTAGGATGCTGAATACTACCCTTGGCCTCCAAGCACGCTGTACCAGGAAAAAGCCTGCCCCAGTTATCACAACCAAAAAGGTTTCAAGTCTTGCTAAATTCTGGGGCACAGTCAGGAGGCAAAAACCTCCCCAGTTGAGAACAACCACTCCAGCCCAAACCCCAGCCCAGTGTGTTATACCACACACCCCTTGTCACTCAACAACCTTCCC